GAATTCCGAAGTTGTTATTGCGTACAGTTCACCTACGTCCGCTATGCAGAGCTGAAGCTGTTGCAATAAGAACCATTAAACCGGAAGATTGTAATTGCTTATATAATATCAGTTAGTTAGCCGACTACTCCCAAGATATGGCATTTACTCAATTGGTTGGAAAAGCCTCAAATCAAGGCACCGAAATTATCAGTAACAAAGCATCTTATTGACTACATATACGGTGATATTGACTCTGTCAAATCATTCACTGTTGTCAACACACAAAGAAAACAGAAAGATGTCTGAATTAGCGGAGGCTTGGGTAATTCTACTTCATCGATCTGGTCTTCATGTGAACAGAAGGCAATGGTGTACACTTTGAATCTACCACATTAATATCGCTTATTCACTAACTCTTGTTATTATTATTAATAACATTTTATTCCATCTCTTATTATTATTATTATTCAAGAATTAGTTTGTAAGGAACTGATAATGGATCGATATCAGTTAAAGAACCCATTGAAATCTGATAAATTCATTAAATCCTGCTTTGTCGGTGTCGTCCTTGCTTAGTATTCTTCAACACGACGCAGCCATCTCACCACCAAGGATCGAAACTAAGGCAGACTCGTTTACCTTTCAACAACTAGGACGAAATCCAATGCCTTATAAAGTAGTGGTCTGTCAGTTTAAAGTTTTCATGAAGTGAAAAATAACGACGGATTTCAGGATCACAATTACTGCACTATACAGGTTTGCCTTTCCATGCAGTCATTGATGTGCAACGCTGAATAGTAGCAAACTAGGACGAAACAGATTTTCAGCGCTAATTGATTTTCAGTGGTTCTCTAACTGATTTTTGGTTCATGGTCAAACTTCATTTTGATTAAATATTTGAAATCAGCTCTTGAAAATTAATGTGTTGATTATTAGTAAATGACTGCAGTATGAAGTCGCTAAAAGTTCTAGTGAGGAGCCGTGATCCAAGGAGTAGCCAAGCTGAGTGTAGGGATAGACTTTCACCTTTAACATTGGCTGACGGTCATGTTCTACCACTAATTGGCAGAAATTAGAAATGATACGCTTTTGGTTTCGATCCAGATGACTGAATGGTACATGAGTTTGCCTTGCGTTCAATCTCTGATGGGATCATGGGTAGGTTTTGCTGAAGGGTCCCAAACAAGGACGAAGTAATCATCCAGTATTCTCTGCTTGTTAATGGTTCTCTCCATGAAGTCAATTCGTGATGAAATAGTTTGAAATCCTTCTTAATTAACATTTCCACGTTTAATCCCAGATTAAATATTAGCAGAAGAACCATTTGAAACCATGTAGCACTGCCATACAGGTGTTTTTTCCTAGCCTGGGACTCACTGGAAGTACACACCTACCACCAAGGTTCGAACCCAGAGGCTTCAGGTTACAAGGCAACCTCACCGACCATCCAGCCACTGGGACCCAATTCAGTGGCCAGCCTATGAATTCTAACTCCTACCGATTCATGATTTAAACGCGACTGACACAAGCCAATATCATCGCTGGTGAGTATTTGTCCTTACTCCAGAACGGATGGACCCCACTCATCACAACTTCTCACTGCAGCCAGTCATCAGGGAGCATCAGATTAATTTTCATCAGTTTGTTTGTATGTTTTGGATTTAGAAAAACACATTTAAGCGAACAATATTGTGCTTTCAATTAGATCTCATCATCAGGCTTAACTCTAATATGCCTACATAAGTTTACAAATAAAATTCAAATATAAACCAATCATGGTGTTTTGTCTGTAGGATAATAAGATGGTGAATATAAATTGTGCAATTAGTCATAATAGTAGTAATGATAATAATAATAATAATGGTTTTATCAATAATAAGGATGAAAAAGTGAGGCAATCTGTGATAACACGAATAATGAAAAACAGAATGATTAAACAAACAAATGTTCACGAAGACATAGTAACCGAAAAAAAGGCACGTTTTTAATGAAGATGTGATAAGATTAGGGTATGATAAGAGAGGGGTTGAAAATATAAGTAAGGGGTGGTGTAGAAGTCATTAGTTGGTTATGTCTTAATAGGCCGATTAGAGAGGGATAATGGCTGTACAAACTTCTTTTGAATGCATTTTTTTATCCCTCACGTTCCGCAGTGGAACATAGGGCTTCAAGCTAGTGGCTTGAAGTTTCTGTAGCAGTGTTTATTTTACAGGATGGGGTTGCTAGCCTCATGCCCAACCTTTCCTCTTCACCAGCATTATTTCTGGCTTAGCGAGGCAAAGGAGTGCGTCGGCCGGGGATTGAACCCCGGACCATGTGCATGTTCGGCGAGCGTCCTAACCACTATGCCACCAAAGCCTTTTGAATGCATGGTATAGGTTTAATAGTTCGAGTGCCTATCGCCCCAGCTGTGTGCAGTAAACGAATACGAAGTCTATTGGAAAGATTCGGTGAGATACGATGAATTACTTTGAAAGCTCCCGCTTTCTTCACTACATGACCACTATCAATTAAATGTGACAAAATCGAGCTACGGATTGTTTTTGTCTGTCCTTTGCCAAACCACGATGAGAGATGTTCACTAACACGTTGGCTAAGCTGTCTAGTAGTACACCCAACATAAATGTCACCGCAGGTGCAGTTGAATTGACACATGCACATAGATGTGGCAAAACTATCTGGCTAATCCTTCGTTTGCATCCCAATCATTCGTCGGCTAGAGAATGACAAACATAGATATGCTGCGAGATCTAGCATTACTTAGTCGGTTCACTTGTTTTTACTAGCCTTTATCAACTACCACGTATACCTGAACAATTGTTTGTTTAATCATGCTGTTTTTTTTCATTATTCGTGTTATCACAGATTGCCTCACTTTTTCATCCTTATTATTGATAAGACCATTTTTATTGTTACTATTATTATTATTATTATCATTACTACTATTATGACTAATTGCACAATTATATTCACCATCTTATTATCCTATATACAAAGCACCATGATTGGTTTATATTTGAATTTTTATTTGTAAACTTATATATATTAGAGTTAAGCCTGATGAGATCTAATTGAAACCACAGTATTGTTCGCTTTAATGCATTGGATTTGTTTTTCAAGTCTGACCACAGACTGATATCAGTTCGAGCACCACTGAAAACCACCAGGGAGTACTGGACATTTGTTTCGTCAGCCTAGTTTAAGATTCATCATCAGGACTCACCAACCATAAGGAGTTCAAACCCAGGACTTTCCATTTACAAGTCAAGCTTACTCGTTTCATTACATTTCATTGAAACTTATGCCTATCGCTAACTTCGCCGATGATATATGTCTGATTTCCCACAAAAAGCTGGAAGATATGCAAGTGAAAAGCAACAAGTTAGCAGAAGAAGCATCAAAGATGGGACTTCAGGTGAACATAGAGAAGACAGAGGTGATGGAGATTCCTGGCCAACAACAACAGACAACAATAAGCATAAATGGGAGGAACCTGAAAGAAACAACCTCCTTCACCTACCTACCTGAGAAGCATCGTTTCAACTACAGGCGGAACTGATGAGGATATCAAAGCAGCGAGGATTGGGAAAGCAAGTCAAGCTTTAGTTACTCTCAAGTCAGTGTGGGGGTCAACATCATTCAGCGTCACAAAAAAGATCCGGATTTTCATCTCCAATGTGAAGTCAGTGCTACTATACGGATGGATCAGAGACTTGGAGCGTCATAAAGACTATCTCAAGCAAACTAAAGACCTTCATTAACAGTTGTCTTCGCTCAGTACTCAAGATCAGATGGCTGGCCAGAAAAGATCAGGAACAGAGATCTCTGGGAGCGAACCAACGGAGCAGGAACCGATTGTGAAACAAATAGGCAGGAAGAAATGGAGATGGATTGGTTGGCCATACTCTGAGGAAACCATCAAGTGAGTGACATCCCTAGACAAGCCCTTGAGGGAGCGGCGAGTTGGTCGTCAGTGCAAGGGTGACTTGGAGGAAGTCATGTGAAGAGAAGATGAAAGCGTGTGGGAAGACTTGGAGTCAGGTGAAGACTCTAGCAGAGAACCGAACGCAATGGAGACGCACGGCTGAAGCCCTATGTTCCTTTAGGGATTGAAGGATACAATAATATAATAATAATATCGCTAACTTAAAACTAATCAATAATATATACAAAAATTGCCTTACAAAAGCTCCCTTAAAGCTCAGCAAAAAAATTAAAAGAACAAATTAAGAATACAAGAGAACAACTGATTGTTTTATTTATAAGACACTTGAAAGTTAATGTATTACACACAATGTTACAACGGACATTGTCGCTCAGTTGCTCTTTCATCTACAAAATAACCTTTATAGAAACTCGGCTAACCTTATATATGTATGATCTGATGAGTGAAACAAACTCTTCGCGTAAATTAATCTCTGTCCCTCTGTGTGCATGTGCGTGTGAGCGTGTTTTTGAATGTTTGCTAATGTTACTGTATTGTCGTTTTACTGATTCCCCATGTTTGATTCATCTCTTCCATGTTCCTGGAGGACAGTTGAAAGAGTGCCCTCTCTCTTTAAAATGACTACGAAAGCGTCTTTTGCGATTCAACCAATAAGGCCAGGACTGTTCTCGATGCTATTCCAGTGTGAGTAGAGCATACCATGGAAACTGATTTTGAGTGTGTGTGTGTATATGTGTATGGGTGTATTTATATACGTTCTATAGAAAAATATGAAATTAAAACTAAAAAATATGTGTAAACAGTAAAACCTTTTTGCATCTCTACGCATGATTACAGGCAGCCTACTCAACAACTTACAGCAGTCTGTTCTTGAGCACACCTCTCTCTCTCGCTCTCCCTCTCGAAATATACAGGTATAGTTTTTGTCAAAATACTATGATGAGATTGATAAAAGTGAGCAACAATAAACCAAAAGTGTTGTAACTGAGAGAGATTTATCAAATAAGTAGGGGGTGGGTGTGTGGGTGGAGTTTATGTGAGCATTAATCATCACCGTCATTCCTCTTTTCTTTTATATAAGCGGTTCTTCAATATATAATATACCATTACTAAATTTCGCTGTAAGACTCTCAGGATCAACATGATCGGGTATATCATATTCTTTAGAAAATTCTCTTACAGCTGTACGATTTAATCCACGTTCTTCATGACGTGCTTTCACATAAATACGACGATTTAACGTTTTAATTTGTATTTCCGATGGTGAATACTCGGAATCAATAGGCAGTTCTAAACAGAATCGACGTTTTCTTGGTGATTGATACGCAGGACGATGTAGATCATTGTTGTTGACATAGGTTCGTTGAGTGTCGTTCAGGTGGTGATGATGATGATGATCGCGATCATGACTGTGTAAATTAATATCATAATCTGAATGGATCGAACGTGTTGAATGGCTCAATTTTGGTGATTTTAATTCAAAGGTGTTCAAAAGTTGTTGTGATAACTTTCTTGGTGAATGATATTGACGAGGTGAGTTGTTATTATTATTATTATGATTATTATTATTGTTATTATCATTCCAAAATCGATCGGACGATACTTCTGAATTAGTAACAGAGGATCGTCCATCTACTGACGATGAAAAAGGCGGTGGTTTCATAGGACAACTAACAGTCAGGATACCATTCAGGGATAATAAAGCAGAGATTTTCTCATCATCTACACCTGGAGGTAAATTGACAGAACGTGAATATTCACGAAGAGATGATGTGGAACCGTTGTTACTATTATTATGATTGTTCATTGCATTCAAGCTATGCGTGGAATGACTTCTGTCTGTTTTAGCTGTTACCACTAGCTGACCATCACGTACAAATACTTTTACTAATTCAGGATCATAATCTGATAGATTAAAATTCGCTACAAAATGTACACTGCCATCTTGAAATTGTTCATAACCACTTGTCTTTGTTGTTGCTGTCGCTGCTGTTGTCGTTAATGTATCTCGTGAACTGGCTGATGAATTCATTACATCGCGACTGCCAAATAAATCACTGGAACTAGATAATCGACTAGGTAATAGCATATCATTGTGCATTAATCGGAATTCTTCATTCCATCGTCTTCGTCTTTCCTCCATTCTACGCTTCATATCATCGTAGAGGTAGTCCGTTGTCTCTGCGAATCGCATTGGACTAGATGAGATTGTACGAAAACGTTTATGCCATGGGATTTGATGAGAGAAGTGGTCATGACTACCGGATGTGTGACGATTACGTGAATCCCAGTCAAATTTATTGGTATTATTATTATTATTACTGGTGAAATTATATTTCCATTTGTCGTCTGATGGAAATGTTGTATCGTTGTCAAAAATACTAAAATTTTTCAAGTAATCATCATGAATGACGGATTTTTTATTACGTTCAACAGGTATACGTAATTCCGTACGATAATTGGTCATTTCTTATCTGCATTCATTATCGTTATTCATAAAATAACAATTAGCAAGCAGGATTGCGCAAAAGTCTGTGTTCACAGTTAAATGTTACAATAGTTGAGACAAGAGAGAGAGTGAATTATTTATGTAAATGTCACATATATATCCTTCCTTAGAAAATTGTTTTGATAGATAATTTGACAGGTTTCAATGTTCAATATTATTATATACAAGTGTAACTGCTGCTTATTTAGGCTGAATAGAAAGGATATGTTATATATAAAATACAGGCCGTTTTAATAACAAACATACTTGATTAATGCTAGTAGTGAAAGAGAAAAATGTGTAAACACAAGCATCTGTCCATATATCGCTCAGTCACACACACACACTCTGTCTTCCTATTTGTCTTTTGTGCGTGCGCGCGCGCGCGCTCATTTAAACAGACACGCTACGTGTCTGACAACACACGGAATGATAACGAATCAATGAATGAAAACGATAACTGCCTGTCTGTCTATCGATCCCTCCATCTATCTATCGTTTGTCTTTTGACTGTGTCTATGAGTGCTGTGATGAATTATTTTTAAAAATTTTTGACCTTGTGTATTGGTACTGCGTTGTGCAATCGTCCCTTACAGGGCGACATTTCATTTTCTGTGTTCTATGTCACAAGATTTGTTTGTGTTTAAGTAACAAACATTAAAACAAGCAAACTGTTTTATTTATTTCTTCTAACCAACTCTCTCATACACACACTCATTCACTCTCTCTTTCTGTAACTTCTGCCTACTACCACTACCTTTCATGGTAAAAATCACAATATTTGGAGAATATCTTAGAGACACTGATGTGCGTGTATTATTGTGCAATATAGCCATTGGTTTAAATACCATTTATAATGCAAAACATATTGTGACCCAGTCTTCCAGCACATGTGTTGCTAAGGTCACTAGACAAGATTTTCTCTTCTGAATAAGTTAGAAGAGAATGACACTAGTGATATGGTAACTGTTTTGAGAACTTATGTGAAAAAAAGCGGAAATGAAATAGAGATAAGGGCCAAGTTAAACTTTAAGCACCACTAACCAACTACCAATGGAGTGCGACCGCACCGGTGACCTTGAAACGCTCACTGAGCATGTTAATGAAACCTGACAAGCAATGTTGTCTTCATCAATAAAATATGCTCACCGAAGAGTTGGGTTATTTAATGGGTTATCTGGCAAGTTACAGCTTGGGCTTGGGAAAGATTAAGTTACGGTTTAGGCCAAGTAAAAGTTAGGGTTAGGTTAACCTAACGAGGGCTACATTAGAGTTGGTTCGAGTTAGTTAGGTTCAGGAAAGATTTGGGTTATTGTTAGGGTCAGAAGACCTAAATAATTACATGGATAGGATGTGGTTAAATTACTCTGTTGAAATAAGAATAGAACTTGTGCACTGTGGTAGAGTATAATTCCACCGTGGGTAAAATTTATTCTGATGAAGTCTTACAGACAGTGTTATACAGTAGTAATATCTGCTGATGACTTTTCGAGCACAATTTATTGCTCAGTAAATATTACTGTATAACACTATGAGACTTTATCAAAATAAATTTTACCCACAATGGAATTATACTCTGTTGATACTCCAACCTAAAACTGAGAGCTATTTTTATCACATGTGAGAGAAAGGTATCCTCTGTAACACTTTTCTACAGTTTTTATGTATTATATATATATATATATTCCAAACACAAAAATGCCTCCTTCACGTGATTGGTGCGTTCGAGGTCATTCGCTGATTGGTAGTTAGTGGTGCTTAAAGTTTAACTTGGCCAAAACACTACTTAGGATATTTAATTCAGTTTTAGACTTTCCTATCGATTGATTGAACCAAGGCTCTCGGTCTCAGGTTGACATGTTGGCTTGAATTAAATAATTAATATGACCCATTGCACAAGAGGTGGCGCTTATGTCCTAAGTGGTTTAGTTTTGACGTTTGAAAATATGGGCGCTGGGTTGGAGCCTCCGTGGGATCATCATGACTCAATGAGGAATGCAGATACATCCAGCTGGCGGACGAGACCCTAAATAGGATGAAATGCGCGTTATCTTGAATTCCACCGCCATGCACCATCAACCAATTAACTACTTATGATCTACTCTGAAATTCTCAGCATGTTGTTGCACTTAACTTACTTGACAACTGCAGAAACGATGAAAAATAATATTTCAGGAATGATATTGGCAGTGTTTTTGGTATTAGCGGTGACAGTAAGGTGGAAAATGTACAAAACGTATAAAATAATGATGACAATAATGCTAATAGCTAAAATTACAGGTTAATTGAAATAGTTTCACCATAAATTATAAGTAGGAGGGAATAAAAGAGCCAATTATTTTGCTAATAACATAGTAAGTCGTAGATTTCACGCTTAACACTATCTCTATCACACAGAACGCCGGCTGATCAAATAGGGTATCGTTGATTTTTTCTACTGAGTTGTACACGCATAAAATCCTTTATAATTACTTCTAGTCGTAGCATATGTGAAACAAAAAGTGGAGAGATGTGAGTAGAGAGGATGAGGTGTTGAGAACCTGAAAATTTGGATATAGACCATTTCTTACACAAGTTCAGGTGTTTATCAACCATAATAGCAATGATCTGACTAAGTGGCCCACCGCTTTCCCTACTGCCAACCTTTAACATCCTTCGAAATTTGGCATAGTTCATTTTGAGTAGCCTAGGAAAGACTAAGGCAGAGCAATAAAGAAAAATAGGTAAGGTGTAAGAGTTAACAAATTGTGAAAGTAGAGGTTGAGTGATTCTCGAATGTCTTAACTTCCTAATGTAGTAGGCTAGATGGAGCATTTTCTTAGAAGTCGACAAGATACGGATCTTTTATGAGTGCTCGTGGCTGATTACACCTGTCATATTGTGTGTGTGGGGGAGGGCACTTGTTACTTTCCGACTACAGATGTTGACCAAAGTCATCTTTTGGATCAGCTCTAAGGTTTAGGCCAATCTCCATCACGTCTCCATTTTTACAAAACTATGGAGAAAATCCCCTTACACGTTTTTACGCTTTCCTTGGAATCTTTTAATGACAAAAAGCAGTTTGCTTACAAATGCAGTAGAAGCACTTTAGTTGTTGGAGTTGTACTTCATCACAATATTATTTCAAGTCTTCATCAAGACGCAAAGTTTGTTCGAGCCTCGTTTTTACACTACATTACTGCTTTTCACTCTATTCCTAGAGCACTTTTGCTAAGTAAGCTGATTTCAGCACAAACTGAGTCCTAGGTCACAAGATGGCTTTCTTCTTATTTTTCAGGTAGAGAACGACATACTATTTTGAATGCAAAGCACTCCACTTCCTTGCTAACAGAAATTGGTGCGCCTCAGTGGTGCTCTATTCTCTTTATTCCTTTTTTCTTTCATTTTGCATGACCTTCGGTATTCTTCCCAAGCTAATTTCAATAAATATGCCGATGATTTAACCATTTCTGTTCCAGTAGTTTCTGCATTCGACTCTTCTTATATGATGAGTAGATTCTTATCTGAAGTTAACAAGTCATCACACCTGAATGGTCGTAAACTGGATCCATCTAAATGTCATATTGATGATTTCAGTTTCAGATGCGAACAAGACTTGCGTGGACTGACTCATTCATTCCCATGATTCCTGTAATATTGACGGCAGTGTGATAGGGAGTAAATGGAATATCGCTTATCTCGACATCAGCTTCTCTTCGAATCTCTGTTGGTCGTCTCATATTCTGTTGATTTCTAAGAAAATCTTTCGCCTGACTTATGAGATAAAGAAGTTGAGACTTCCTGCTGGCTTAAATCAACCTCACCTCTTCTGCAGTAATTTATTAATTCATGCATTCTGCCCATTCTACTTCTTCATTGTTCTCCCTTGTTCTTCCCTGAACTTCTCAAAAAAGACTATGTCATATTACGTAGAACACTGAAGGCTGTAAGTAGGGTTAGTGGTGTGCCTTTGACTCAGCTAACTGACATTATTGTCAATAGGCACTTCAATCCTTGCAAGCAATGGGCCCAAGTTATTTTGTCTGATACCGAACATCCTCTTTATTATTCACAACTTTTTCCTTGTATCTCTTTGGGGCATAAAACCAGAAGAAACTTCATAAGAATTTATGCTCGTACAGCTAATAAATATAAAAATTCTACCATACCACCATATTTATCACGGGTTTTGTGTGAAGAGAGAGTCAGATGTCAGAAAAGAACTTGTAAACTCTTTAAATCAGTAAGTGAACTGCAGAGTAAAAGCAAACATTATTATTATTATTATTACATGTATTGTCTATTGTATTATCTATTTATAATTCATTATGTTCGACCAACCTTCATTTTTCTGTAATTTTATTATTGTTTCCAATTTTATGTATCTGCATGTTTGTAAAAGGAGCTAAATTGTTGCAATATCGGTAAAACCCCTGAAAATTTCAGTCTGTAAAATTATTATTGTTTGGAATAAGGTTATTATTATTATTAACTGTTATTATTATTATTCACAGTCCGAGGTGAACGTTCACCATAGTTTTCAATGGAAACCAAAAGTATTTAGATCATGACATGTAACCTGTATGATATTATAAATGGCAATAAAGAAATCTAGCATAGATGCATAACTCTATAAATATTGATGATCTAAAATGGTTAGGTGAACACCACTCATATTGACCAGATTGAAAAGGTCTAAACACTGAGCCACCTTTTCGCTCTTTTGACGCCAAGGTCATCGACAGTACCCTCGGTTTGGCTTACCTCAATTCTGATTCAAAACGAACAGACCCCTGATACACTCTGTCCTTAGATGAGCGAAATGGCAGGCCGACATTTATATCCCTTCAATTCAGCTAGCAAACTCTACTGGTTGATTTGAGTGGTATCTGACTACTTATCTCAATCAATCAGTAGTATGTGGCGTTGTAGACCAATGCTTGCCTTATTTATTGCTATCTATGATATCAGCAAGGGATCAAATTTGATGATCTGAAAAG